AAGCATGTAAGACTTTAATGTTCAAACCCACCATCTTATTCAGCCCTTTGGTCCAGCTGCCTCTGTATGTAGGACTGGGCTTATTGGTGCTGCTGTTGATCATCATCTTCATCATCATGACATGGAAAGTGCTGGACAAACACAGTGAGTATCTGCTGATGCAGACGGTGTATAAGTGACCTGACTGTCTGACCAGTGCTGCGTGTCCCTCTGCACTCCTGTAAGCAGCAGCTAAACCTTCATGCTTTTATCCTTTTCCAAAGACGGCTGGACAGGGGCTCAGGCAGCAGGGTTCAGACACACGGGTTTATGCAGTGAAATTAAAACAGAATGTTGTCTTGTCCCCTTTGAGAACACAGACTAAACATAGTGCAGAACTACAAACTGCTATGGAGCAAACAGGAAATCAAACCTCTACTTCCTCCATTAACCTGCAGGTTTTCCTCTGACCCACTGAGTTTGTGTCCAACCAGCTGAGCTGAGTTAGTTATTCTAACCTGGGCTTCATTAACTGGTTTAACCTGTATGCACAGACTGGTAATCAGGTGTCATGGAAGTACGAAATTTCACCTGAATATTCAGATATATAATTTTTTTTTCCATGTAGAGAAAAAATTGGCCCGGAACCAGAATCCAGGATGGTCAGAATTCAAAGTAAGTTCATATTTAATAAGGGGAGATTCTGCAGTTTTTAAAGAAAGCAAAGAACAGAAATGTTTTATACCCTCACTAACTCATTAGGATTTTTTATCTCTGCATTTCGTCCAACAAAAAGATGCCATTAAACTGATGTCAGGTGTGATAGATTCAATGCTGAGGTTTGACTCTTGTTTTAGTTGAAACACGGAGCTGGAATGTAAATACAATTAATGTTATCAGTTTGTGAAGAAACTTTATTTTGTGTATTGCATTTCACAATGAGGTCAAATGCTTTCTAAATGCAAGTAAAAGAGGACATTGGATAATATCTGTAAAGGCACAAATCATTAACAGCTACACAGGATTATCAACAAATTCACAACAGTGACAACAGGTGGTTCTGAGGAGATGCATGGTCATAATGTGTCTCTCAGTCCTCCTTAGAGCCTGATGCTGATGTGATCTACAGCTCCATTGACCTGCCAGTTCCAGAGGTAAGATGATGTCATGTAAATCACTGTTCAGTACAGGCATCAGACGAATAACACAATGAGAGACTAAGGTCAAATAATGTTCTTACTGGGCAGGTAGAGCTACAGCTCTGATCTGTCAGATCCATGTGCATCATGCTAAGATGTCAGACTTAACATGATACCCATGGTGTGTCACAGGGATTTAGTTATTCTCACATTTGTTTTCACCTACTGAGCATTAGAGGAGTTTTCGAGAGAGAGAGAGGTTTAGGATATTATGGGCTTGTGGTTCCTGCACAATGGTTGGTCTTGTACCTCCATCCTAAGGGACTAAATACTCTCAGCAGATGTCCTCTACTTCTTCTGCTGCAACACCAGCCAACAATGAGGTCTACAGCTTAATCACCCTGAAACACAGTGAGGTGAGTTACCTTAGACACTGTATCTGTGTGGCCAATTTCCTGTTCCTGTAGCAGTAACATTAACACACCACACGCCCTGAAACGCTAAGAGGCGTCGTGCCTCAGATGCCAAAATGAACTGAGGAATCAGGTGTTAATGCATATATGTTCTTTTCCAGTAGGGGGCAGCAACATGGAGATGCTCCTCTACATGTGGGGACCTACTGCTCAGGATGAGATCTGTGAGGGACAGTCAGATACTCCAGTGATGGGGAGGGATAATCACCAGAGAGGAGCATCTTACTGTGATGTACGCTGTATTTAAATGGCATGAGCCACTCTCACATTTTATACATTATATAAATAATATACAATACAGTCGTCCCTCGCCATATCGCGCTTCGACTTTCGCGGCTTCACTCTATCGCGGTTTTTTTAAATACATTTATTCATTAAAAAGTTGATAGACAGTGAAAATGATACAGCGCGCGCTCGGTTGTCCGAGTCAATTATACACATCTGTATTACAATTCAAATTACTGTACGTATGGACTGTAGGCCTATGTATTCGAGCACCCCCGCAAATCCTTCAACGTCAGGTGCAGCCGAATAATAAAGAAATAAAGAATCCTACTTCACGAAAAAATTAATTTAACGCGGTAGAGTCTGGAACGGATTAACCGCGATAAACAAGGGATTCTGTATTCTGAGAAGATATTTGCCAGTAGGGCTGGACTGGGACCGAAAAATGGCCCTGGCATTTTTTCGTCATGGCGGCCCACTACGATTATTTATACGATATGCGAAAGCACATGACATACCACAGGATATATGTGCACGTTGTGTGATTTCAAAAAATAAAATAAAGCGCAGCAGCTTACATGGAAGAGAGTAACCATGTTAAAAAATTTATATGCTCTTTCACTACTCAGGGATTCATCTTGGGAGAGATGGCCACAGTGTCACAATTCCCACCTATGTATTATACTGTATTTTGAGTTTGTTGTAGGGATTTTACAGGTTTTAAAAAATAATAATAATAATTTAAATTACACAATACACCCACCATAATAAGAATGCATAACAAAAATGAGAGATATATAAAATCGCAAGTTAGTCTTGAATTACGTATGATGTATTCTAGCCATCAAGAGCTTGGGAGAAAATTGCATCAGTTTAATTTTGTGTGTATTTAATATATGTGAGCGGCCTCTACGATCCAGCGGAGGGTCCCGGGTCGGCCCACCGGGCACTGCCCGCTACGCCAGATGGCCAGTCCAGCCCTGTTTGCCAGTGTCTGTTTATAAGTGTACAGTATATATGTCAAATAATATAGGAACGCAACCGAATGCATTTTCCTTGCCTGACCTGCTGATACCGATCCTGGCCAATTACAATTTTCTTAGTTTAACAATGATAACAGGGTAACACTCCTTTAATGAACTTATTTTCAAATACGATGGCTCCACAACTGTCAAATTAAATTGGTTGTTCCAAATGTTTCTGGGGAAGGATCTCCACTGTCTTACACACTGTGAATTTAATGTCTTTGTCCCACATTAGAATGAATCTCCAAACAACAGCCATGTTTCCCATAAGTGATTTAACTATCATGTCATGTGACATAGTTGAGGGAGGAAGGGTGAGGGGTGGGAGGCACGACTGAGGATGGAAACTGAGCTGGGGGCAGAGGTGAGCGAATGACCGAAATGTCATATCGCGATACGTCTGGTTATAATCACCATCCACGATATAGGTCACGATTTTTTTTAGAATGTATGTAGTAATGTTAATTAACCACTTAACCAGCAAGTCTGTCCTTACAAGAAACATTGCTTGTAACATTATAAGCGCAAGGCAGGAAACAACCCAGGATGGGACAAGAAGTAACGTTAGTTCGTAAATTTCTTGATCGGCTCATATAATCGTCCATATTTACACTGATTGGCTGATTGCCGGTCAGCGCCAATCAGGGTGAAAATCGACCCTTTTGGGTCACTAGCCGATTGATCGGTGCATCCTTACATTGTACATATACATTGATTTATATTTTGCACTCGATTTGTTTAAACATATCAGTGATTAAGTACATAAAGAAGACATTAGGCTACCTATTAAGCCTTTCAGTACAATAAAGAAAAAAATGATTTTGTCCCGATAAAATGATCCCCCAAAGAGCCGTCAATATCAAACCAAAACAATAGACCTGTGTTTCATTTTAACTGTCATTCATCACTGTATGTTAATTAAAAATAACACAATCCTCAGAGATGAAAAGGAGTTTCTAACAATTACATCCAGAGTTTCAAAAAGCTGGTCTTCTCAAAAATGAAGAACTCTGAAAGTTAACATGAACAGAAAATCTTTATTTTGTTGAACTACTGGACATTTAGCCTTTTGTGATTCATTTAGCTTTTCTGTGATTCAAAATATATGTTCAAAATATCCACAATGTATTTGTGAAAAAAAAAATTATATTTGTTTATTATTTATTTTTTATTTGTTGTGTATAATCTGAAGGTAACATTAGAAGTGAAAAGACAGCACATTTTAAATAAGCCTTTTTCTCACAGCAAGTCTAACATCAGATATCAGAAAAAGTCACCTCTTTGCCAGCTCTGACCTATACATCCCAGTAATGAATTCTTTCCAGGATTATAATTTATGTTTATGTTAAATCGGCTGAAGTCTTTTTGATTGCCGTATTACTGCTTCTTCCTGAAATTCACAAAATCTGAAATCAGGAAGCATGACCTTCCTGCTGAAGCTGATTGGTACACCCCAGTTATGAAATCCTTACAGAATTACAAAATCTTATTTACGCTAAGTCACCTGACGTCTTTTTGACTGCTGGGTCACTGCTTTTTCCTGGAATTCCTGGGTCACAAAATCCGACATACTTTTGTGTTCATGTATTCTTTGGAATTGTTAGGACAGCTTAACAGTTATCCTAAGGTTAGGAGAGCTTATTTAAGATTTTAGTAAGGTGTGGTTGTGTTAAATAAAAAATGAAAATGACAATAACTGTCTTTTGTCAATTCAGTTGTACTTCTATAATCGTTGTAGCATATATTTCACAAGCTTTTTATTCTACAGGATCTACAAGCAAGTCAATGCATTTAGTTGGTAGTTTCTGTTACAGTGGAGCATGCTGGAAAGACAGACGATCGACAGTGTGGCTAACCAAAACAGGGGTTTTATTAGGAGACCGAAAAAAACAAAAAAACAGGATGGGTCTGAACACAGGCAGGTAGAAAACAAGACTTAAAGCAAGGAGCAACACAGGATGTAACACAGCAGCACAGGAACTAACACGGCACATACGTCTAATCAGGTGCAAACAAAAGAACAACCATAAAATCCTGAAACATGAGAAATTGAATGGGCAGTGCCATCTACTGGCCAAACAAGGAAATGACAGGACAGGGCAAGGACTGATCCTAACAGTTTCAGAGTTCTTAGCTTCCGTAAATGCATTGTGGCAATAATACAGCAATTCATTAACATTGAAAAGAAAATGTACTTTTGAATAAGTTTTTTTTTAATCAAGTACTCCAGTACTTTAACTGAAGTAAAAATTTGACAGAATAACTTTACTCATTTGTAGAGTAATATTTGACCAGAAGTATCTATACTTTGACTAAAGTAATGCAGTTGTGTACTTTGTCCATTTCTGGTTCTTCATCAACTGTTTATCAAAATTTCTCATTTTCTTATTTTAATTTTTAATGACAATATCTTGGTAGGCTTCTCTCATTAATATTACCCAGTGAGGGTTGAGTGAAGCCTGCTGGTTCTGGTTTTAATTTTATAATGTGCTTATGCTCTTCACTGCCCTCTGCTGGAGCAACTGTGGAGTTAAAAGCTGCCCCGTTACATTTTGTTTTGTTTCAGTATAAAAGCTTTTAGATTTTTTTCACAGTATTTTTTTTCTCACAGAATGTTAGGCTTTTCCTTATTGATAAGTGGCATATTATTTAAAACACAGACCCCAAACTGTGAGACTCATCATACATAATGTTAATAAAGATGCTTTACATTAATCCTGCAGGCCTCAGTGGTGTCTCAGTGTGTAACAGGGATGCCTTACACTGTCAGGGGTTTGGGTCTGAATTCAAGTCCTGTCAGCAGCCACACCACCTGTGGTTCAGCCGGATAATCCATCTGAAAATAAGTAGGTTTGGACCCGGCCAGTTGTTGGATCAGAGACCAAGTAGGAAAGCTGGGTTGGTGCTGGAAGAGATCTTGGTGTGGCTAACAGGGGAGCTGGTCATGTGGTCTGTGCGGATCGCAGTGACGGGGACACTGTGGCCAACAGGGGAGCTGGTCATGTGGTCTGTGCGGATCGCAGTGACGGGGACACTGTGGCCAACAGGGGAGCTGGTCATGTGGTCTGTGCGGATCCCAGTGCCCCAGCGCAGTGACGGGGACACTGTGGCCAACAGGGGAGCTGGTCATGTGGTCTGTGCGGATCGCAGTGACAGGGACACTGTGGCCAACAGGGGAGCTGGTCATGTGGTCTGTGTGGATCGTAGTGCCCCAGCGCAGTGACGGGGACACTGTGGCCAACAGGGGAGCTGGTCATGTGGTCTGTGTGGATCCCAGTGTCCCAGTGCAGTGACGGGGGACACTGTGCTGTAAGAATGGTGTTGTCATTCTAGTGAAATGTAAAACTGTGGTCCTGGGTCATGAACAATTCCTGGGCATCTTTTGAAAGAGTAGGGGAGGTACCCGATATCCTGGCTAAAATTGTGTGTTACAGAAACGTAACATTCACTCATTCATATTATGGTTTCTTTCCGTGGTCCAAAAATATATATCTAGGTGGATTAGAAACCCTAAACCGCCCATAATATGCAATGACCCGGCATCCCATGCAGAGTGTTCCCTGATTTGTGGCCCGTGGGGTGTCTATCTCAGCTTCGAATCTGACAGTCCTACCTGAGACACCAGAAATGGTTGAAGCCCAATGGTAGGACCCCCCTCCCCTGCGATCTCTAGCCACAAGGTAATTCATAGGTCCGCTGCTAGTGAGGTAGTATTTATGGGACTTCTGCTTGCTTCTCACGTTATAATGCAGATGCGCTGTATGCAGGGAATTCGGAGTCCTGCAGCCGGCTGGGAAATGTCGCAGACGATCTTTTAGTCTGTTTCATTCCTTTTTTATTTAATGTAACACAGCGACACACAGGGAGATTACTGTTCCATGTATACTTCTACTAAGCAACTTAATCACGAGCCTTTTAATTCGAATAACCTAAGTTTCATTTTGTTTGTAAACAAAAAAGTGTTTATTAAAACATCGAATAATTAAACACAGTGATTTAAGTTTGTTTGTAATATATGCAACCCACTCTCTGACCCCCATAGCATATTTATACAATATCATAAGTTACTCTAATCATGAATGTTACTCTAATCATCGTGCTGGGCACTCGACCCGGCGCTGACGTGTTCGGAATTCCCTTCTGTGGTGGTGCGCATGCGCAGTCCGAGCCGGGCTTTGCACTGTGGACATAGGCACCGGTCCGCTGTTGGAGTTTGACGTGGCATTCAGCTCGCATTTACAGTGCGTACTGTGCTGAACCCTGACCAGCTTAACCAGCTGAGCCTTTCAATCAGGTAAATAACATCTGTCTATTCGCCGGCACCTTCTAAATTATATCACAATAAAACTTCAGGGCACTGAACTTTTTTAAAAATATACTTTCACTTACTACGTATAACTTTGTTGCAATGGATTGTTTCATTTGCGTTGGAATACTGTCTGCCTGTCACAGATTATTATTTTTATGTCATTAATTACACAGTGCTTATCTGTGGAATTAAACAATGTAATGTTAGTTTCGATTTACCCACCGTATGTTATAATTATCTTTGACGTGGCATCAAACCGGGAAGTTTTGGGGGAAACTTTAACAAGAATCATTTGCGCTTTCGCGTCTTATCACACCGGATATGCAAGGTGACAGTAAAACGTTTTAAATAATAGTCTGTGCCGGATCATTTATGTCTGTTTTATAATGTTATATAACTCATTAGACGCGTGTCTTGCTGCAGTTCCATCAGTCAGGGCAGAATCCGCAGCTTTTCTCCCTATGGCTCCTACTGCAAAGTTCTTCTCAAGAAACCAGTTATACTGCAAAAAAGTGAATAATTGTGTTGCTCTAATCATAAAAGTAATATTGCAGCTGATTCTGAAACTTTGTAAAACCGTTTCTTGAAATAAAAGCCCGTGTGGCCGTTCTTAGCGGAGTTGTTCTGATCTAACATGCAAACGTACGATCTGCACGTCATTAATGCCGATGTCCGTTTGCTCTGTGACACCGCGTACAGCTTTGCTGAAGGAGGCGCGTTGTTTGTACTCATTACCGTAATAAATAAACGTACCCTATTCCTTTCTTGCATACTGGCTTGACTCTATACGGGAACCTCCTTACGGCTTCTGAACTGGTACAGTCGAGATGCGTCATGGCAATAGTTTACAATGAGTGAAATTAATTGATGCTTTTTGTGCTTTTTTTAAAACTGAGATCACTAAGGTGTCATATATTATATATCCTCCTGAGACCCCACCCATTCATTTATGTCCATTGTAGTGGACATTTTATTTTTGCATCTATCTTTTCACTGATGTAAGGAAACGTATTTATTCCTATTGTGCACTAAATAGCACATGCTGTGAAATTAAAAATAAAAATGAATTTGAAAAAATCTAAATTGTAAGATGTCTTATTTCCTCCAAAGACAAATAACCTAAAATTGAAGGACACTTTATTCCTCGGGTCTCAGGAGGATATAATATGTATATATGCACTTCTTAGTATTTTTCTCTAGAATTGGACAAACATGTGTTTACCTCTACACTGCACTGCAGCCTACTGCTTGTTTTCCACGTGAGTTTGTTATGGAAATTAATTCTGGATAATAACAGATGATGCCGACAGACGTAAACCCCTAATTATCATCTCCAAATATGGGCTTTCTGACTTTGTGTGATATTTTGAAATGATTCCCCTTTAAGCCGCTTAGGAAGGTTAGGGTGGGGAAATGAGCCGAGTTTTGTTTCCAGTTCTTGGTCTGGGATGAGAAGAGCCTGAACGGGACCGGGCGCGATGAATCAGCAGGGCTATGTGGCTGGTTTCTCTCAAGCCCCGCCAGGTGTAGCTGGCTATTCTAATGCCTACGGAGCCTCGCACCCCCAGACTCAGTACGTGCACTTCGGGGTCCCGCCACAAGGGGCCGCTCCAACGCCAGGTAAGGAGCTGTCGTGGCTCTTCAGACCCTGATCCTGTTATTCATTTTAGTTTATTGTGCTTTAAATGCGTTGCAGATCTCAGTTTCCTCATGTCTGTGCCGTATATTCCATTCTCATTTTTGGATGCTTACTCAAGACTACAGAGAAAAGACACTTAAATCCCTTACTCATTTTCTGATGTGGGGAGTATTTATTTTATTATTATTACTATTATTATTATTTTTTTTTACAGCCATGTTCAAGACGCCTGCATCTCCTGGATCCGGCATGGCCCTACCTCCAGGGACTGGCCAGTTCATGACCAATGGTCTGCACAATGGAACGAGCGAGCAAAGGTAAGGCCACCTTGATGAGGAGGTTTAAGGCTTGCAGTGCGTACGCCTTATCTGATTTGTCCCACACGGATTTTGCTCCTCTAGGTTCCCCCCTCATACCTCAGTCCCTTCTCCGTCTGCCTACCCTCTCCCCGCTGGTCCCAGATTGGCTGCTGCACCAGCGTCCACACAGCAGCTGACCAGTCAGATGGGTGGCATGCAAATCAGCGGATATGGTAGGTTCCGTTGCAGTGGCGATCTCCAAAATCCAGTGGCCTGACTTAACTCAGCGCCGTTATTTACCTTTGATCTGGCAGTGCACGTCATTCTGAAAGCCTTGGTTTGAAAGTTTTGAAAGGAGGTCCACTGTTACACTAACCAAAGGATTAAATTCCAAAGGCTTAGCTTTTCATTAGGTTTTTCAAGTTTCAATTTTTAGGTACTTACCATGTTGACCTTAAGAGTAAATCTATAAATTGTTTAGATTAGATGGTAGATTAGTTTAAATTAGATATTAGATTAGTTTAGATTAGCGCTATTGAAATGCTTCCATAGAGCTCTAACAAAGAGCACGCATTCATCGTGATCTGCTTGATTCGTTTTCTATAGGCCAAGGCGCACTACAAGCTACTCAGCCACCTATGAGTTCTGTGGCACTGCAGACAATGTCTTCACCACCGTTGGGACAAGTCCAGCCATTACAGGCCCCTCCCACATGTCCTCCTCCAATGGGTATGGGCCCAGCCATGGGCACCATGGGCACAGTCCCGCCAATGGGCATGCCCGGATCATTCCCAGGCCCGCCCCCTCCCAGCAGTGGCACACTCCAGCAACTTCCAGGATCATGTGGGCCGCAGGAGTTGCTGCATCAGCAAGGTGCAGAGTGTGGAGTTCTGCTCACATGCACCCATCCTGTGGAACATTATTCTCATGAGAATAAAAAGTACTTCTTAGTCAGAGCTGCAAAGAACAATTTTAATTGCATTCAGCTCATATTCTGTAGATCTGTAGCACTATTCCTTCGACAGAGGCTTTGTGGGATAGTGTTGACAGCATCTTTGCAGATTATGACCTTTATCACCAGTAGGGGGAGCTACAGAACACCTCTGGAGATGTGAAAAGAGGACATAAGGGTCTTATGTCAGTTCTGGTTTGCTGTGTGCTGATTAGCTTGGCTTGACTGTGTGACATGGAGCTATGGAAGTAAGTGTGACCAGGACCTTTTTCACTGGCAGGTGGATACGGGGACCAACCAGCGGGCTCCCTGCCCGGCTTCCCTGGGGCCTTCCCCCCCGGGGCAGCACAGATGGCGGGGCCCCCGCAGAAGAAGTTGGACCCCGACTCCATCCCCAGCACGGTGGGTACCCGCCTCGACTCCTGGAGACCCATCTGCGGGGTGCTCAGCATCTGGGATATGCGTAGCCACAAAGATTCAATGTGTGGAAGAAATGAAACGGTAAATTCTATTTATTTAGCAGATGATTTTATGCAAAAGTGACACACAATAGAGAAAGCGGGGGCAGACGGTCCCTGGAGCGATTGGGGATTAAGGGCCTTGCTTAGGGGCTTAACGATAACATCGCTCTGCCGACCGTGGGATTTGAACCAACAGCCTTCTGATCATAAGTGGAGTGTCCTAACGTGCTGAGCCACACAGTGCGTAATTAAAGTTTAAAATGGTTAATTAATGTAATCCTTTTAAAAAAAAACCTACTCCACCAGCCCTCTCTGTAACGCTATACACACATACATCTAGTGCACCCACATCAGGGCAGTAACCGTCTGCTCTCAGTCTCCACCCTCCAATCACCCTCCAAAAATACCAGCGTGCCACATTCCCACAGCAGAAGGCGGGTCTCTCTTCTCCATAGCTACCATTACTGAGCTCTCCTTCTTCATATCTAGACACAAGTGATCGAGGACGACCAGGCCAAGCGTGGCGGGCAGATCTACACCACCAACCTCAGGGGCCAGGTACCCCCACTGGTCACTACGGACTTTGTGGTTCAGGACCAAGGTAATCGACGGCTACGACTTATTATATTGTATAAAAGAATAATATATAAGTAGTTATACAAGTTAGGGTTATTATAAGAAAAATAAAAGGTTTGCATCAAGGGCATAACTTTGGGTTGATCATTGGGGGGGGTGGGGGTTGTATTGGCTGGTTTAGATTATTGGGAGGTTACAACCCCCCCTGTAATTTACGAGAGTGTCAGTATATGTAAAATATGAAATGCGATCTGTTTAATATACATTGTGTATGTGTAGTCCTTAAGACTGGATACCTCCATCCTCAGTATAATGTGTGAGGTGACATCACCCCTCGGCCTGTCTCTAGGCAACGCCAGCCCGCGAGTCATGCGCTCCACGGTCTACTCCTTCCCCTGCACCGCCGACCTCGCCAAGCAGTGCCAGGTGCCCCTGGCGGTCACCATCAAGCCCCTCGCTCTCACCCCCAACAACGAGGTAGGACTGCCGTGTGTCGGTGTGGCATCGAGGGTCTCAGTCCCCACCGTGGACACCCTGTCCTTAACACAGTGGGGGGGGGTCCGGGATGTCCCCTGGGGAGTCTGTTCTGGGGATTTCCATGTGGTCTCTGTCACCAAGACTGAAAGGATCACAATCACACGTGGGACTGGAGGGTGTCAGGTTCCCAGGACGAACATGGCGTTTTTGATTGGATGGAAGTTGGAATTTGAACTAGTTCAAACTCCAGATTCTTATATCAGGAATTCAATTGTAACTAACTATAATGAAAACTCAATTATGACTAGTTACAGCTGAATTCCCGATAAAATAAAATTGGATTGTTTCCTAGTTAAAATGTTATTTCTGATATCAACAATTGGCATTTCAACTAGAAACACCTGAATTCCTGATAACAGAAATTGCTACCTTAACTAGTTAAAACACAATTATAACTAGTTACAATTGAATTTCTGATATTAAGAATTTGCATTCTGAATAGACAGAACCGAAACTGTGACATCTTCTGGAGATGATGTAAA